TAGTATATATTAATTTTAGGCTTTTTAAGAGATGAGTGAGAGAGAAAAGGATCACAGAGAGAGAAAAGAAGAAACAGAATACATACCTACATAAGAATGGCCTCACATTAATCATAGTATTTTGTAAATCTTTAATGTAATGTTTAATTTTTTTATGTGAATATACTTTAAGTTCTGGGGTACATGTGCAGAATGCACAGGTAACATAGGTATACATGTGCCATAGAGGTTTGCTGCACCCATCAACCCAACATTCACATTAGGTATTTCTCCTCTAGCTTCCCCACCCCCGGCAGGCCCGTGTGTGACATTCCCTTCCCTGTGTCCATGTGTTCTCATTCTTCAGCTCCCACTTATGAGTGAGAACATGCATTATTTGGTTTTCTGTTCCTGTGTTAGTTTGCTGAGAATGATGGTTTCTAGCTTCATCCATGTCCCTGCAAAGAACATGAACTCATTCTTTTTTATGGCTGCTTAGTATTCCATGGTATATATGTGCCACATTTTCTTTATCCAGTCTTTCATTGATGGGCATTTGGGTGGATTCCAAGTCTTTTTTATTGTGAACAGTGCCACAATAAACATACATGTGCATGTGTCTTTATAGTAGAATGATTTATAATCCTTTGGGTATATACCCAGTAATGGGATTTGTGGGTCAAATGGTATTTCTAGTTCTAGATCATTAAGGAATTGCCACACTGTCTTCCACAATGATTGAACTAATTCACACTCCCACCAACAGTGTAAAAGTGTTCCTATTTCTCCACATCCTCTCCAGCATCTGTTGTTTCCTGACTTTTTAATGATCACCGATTCTAACTGGTGTGAGATGATATCTCAATGTGGTTTTGATTTGCATTTCTCTAATGACCGGTGACAATGAGCTTTTTTTCATATGTTTCTTGGCTGCATAAATGTCTTCTTTTGAGAAATGTCTGTTCATATCCTTTGCCCACTGTTATTTGGGATTGTTTTTTTTCTTGTAAATTTAAGTTCTTTGTAGATTCCGGATATTAGCCCTTTGTCAGATGGATAAATTGAAAAAATTTTCTCCCATTCTGTAGGTTGCCTGTTCATTCTGATCATAGTTTCTTTTGCTATGCAGAAGCTCTTTAGTTTAATTAGATCCCATTTGTCTATTTTGGCTTTGGTTGGCATTGGTTTTGGTACATTAGTCATGATGTCTTTGACAATGCCTATGTCCTGAATGGCACTCTATGTCAATAATTATACACAACTTAAAAATTATTACTGACTAGAGGAACTGCTCTTTGCATAACTTTTCTATGTTGATACCTTTTAAATAGCAAACATCAATAAACAGTAAACACTGCAAATCAACACACCAGTAGTGGTGGAAACAATAATTTAAAAGATACGAATCTGTTGTAAGTATAATCATTTTATGTTCTCATTTTCTCATACCCACACACATATGCACATATACAACCACCCTCAATTTTCTTATTAATATACAACAAAATGTATTGATTATGAAAAGTCTAAAGTTTCTCTGACCTCTAAAATTTTGATTCTGTACTTATATTGTATACATTTAATAGTTTTCCATGAGGCTCTTTCCATAATAATTTTTTTTTTAAGACAGAGTCGTGCTCTGTTGGCCAGGCTGAAGTACAGTAGCACAAACTTGGCTCAGTTCAACCTCCATCTCCCAGGCTCAAGCAGTTCTCCTGCCTCAGCCTCCTAACTAGCTGGAATTACAGGCTACTTGAGAGTTGTGTCACCATGCCTGGCTAATTTTTGTAATTTAAGTAGAAATGGAGTTTCACCATGTTAGCCAGATTTGTCTCAAACTCCTGACTTCAGGTAATCTGCCCACCTTGGCATCCTAAAGTGGTGGGATTACAGGCGTGAGCCACTGTGCATGGGCCTATTATTTTTTTTATTAAGCTTCAAGCTTATTCTTACTTGGTTCAAAAACAGTTTCATATATACAACTAGCACTGTGGAAGGTTAATTCACACAAACTTAGTTAATGCTTCTTCATACAAACTTAGTTAATGCTTATCACAATCCTGCAATGTAGATAACATAAAAACTAAGTAATTTGTTCAATATCCCCAGATGATAAGTAGAGGGAATGGAATTAAGGCATCTGGTTACACTATCTTAAAGATTCTGTCCATTACATCACATCAAGTTGCCTTTCATTTTTTTTTTTTTTTCAGACTGAGTGTCTCACTCTGTCCCCAAGGCTGAAGTGCAATGGCAAAAATCTCAGCTCACCACCACCTCTACCTCTACCTCCCAGGTTCAACCAATTTTCCTGCCTCAGTCTCCTGGGTAGCTGGTATTATAGGCGCTCACTACCCACCCACCCCCGCCCCCAATTTTTGTATTTTTAGTAGAGACGGGGTTTCACCATGTTGGCCAGGTTTGCTTCAAACTCCTGACCTCAGGTGATCTACCTGCTTCAGCCCCCCAAAGTGCTGGGGTTACAAGCATGAGCCACGGCGCCTGGCCCAAGTTGCCTGTCTTAATATAGTCACTGAGGCATTTATTAAGCACCTATTATAACAACAACAGGATTAGTATACTAGGAAAATGCTCATTTAAAAGGACTGAGGAAATGTACACTGGGACTGGTAAAGCAGAGTCCTAATGTAACTATAAATAATAAAACTTATAGAAGAAAAAATAATTAGTAAATAGGTTAATAGAAAACAAACCTAATTTTAAAATGATTGAGGGAAAAATAAATATGTCTATGTTTAGAACAACAGAAACTGGTTAACTACTGAACGTAAAATTTGCTTTTTTTTTTCCTTCAGGACACCTGTTACCTGGGTATGAATGTAAATTTCTGACTTTTTGTTCTTTTAACCAAGCTGTACTTTGATTTGGCTTTCTGGTCAATTCACTTAAGAGAGATGGTTCATAATAATTAAGCATGTTCGAATACTAACTGTAGCATTATTTCCCATTATCTTAAAATTTTTCATCAAACTTATAAGAAATGAGGTATATTTTACAAAGAACTTTTAGTTCTCTTGGAAGAAAGGTAGTAAATTAATAAAGGGAAATACTACTACCATTATATATAATTTATTAAAGGGGCAAAGAGGTTATTTCCTTAACTAGTCTTAAAAGGAAGAAGACTGTTAATAAGAGTACTTTAAGACACAATATATTCATATTCCAAATTCTTTGTTTTAATTGTAATCAGCTGAATGTTCACTCAAAAGATTTATTTCAAATCTTCTCTGTGCAAGGCATTATACTAAGTGCTATAGGAATACAAACAAGGCTACTAACTAAGATGTTATCCCTAACTTCATGGAAAAGAAGATAAAAGAAAGTGTGGTTTTCTGTTTACATGAATCAATTTAGCTCTCATTGAGAACTATCTGTGGGTATCAATATGCATTTTTAGGATTAAAACAAAAACAATGGGCAAAACAGAAACAATGGGCCAGGCGCAATGGCTCACATCTATAATCCTAGTACTCTGGGAGGCCAAGGCAGGCAGGTCACTTGAGGTCAGGAGTTCAAGGTCAGCTTAACCAACAAGGTGCAACCCTGTTTCCACTAAAAATACAAAAATTAGCTGGGTGTGGTGGTGCACACCTGTAGTCCCTACGCAGGAGGCTGAGGGAAGAGAGTCACTTGAACCTGGGAGGCAGAGATCACGCCACCACATTCCAACTTAGGCAACACAATGAGACGCCATCTCAAAAAAAAAAAAATGCTGTTCTGGGTCTCCTCACAGATGCACAAATTCTTTCTAACATGCTTTATTATTTCCTGATAAGACAATCAAATGATACATACCTAATCATTAAAAAATTTAAAGCTATTCATGAAATGTACATAAAACAAGATAATATTTCTTTGAATTTAGCAGTCATATATTTGGGTCTACTTTTATTACATTGCCAACTGCGATGGTTTGAATATTATGTGTTCAAAACAATCTTTAATGCAATAGCGTTGAGAGGTGGGACCTTTAAAAGGTGATTAGGTCACAGGGCACTGCCCTCACAAATAGATTAATGTCATTATTGTGAAAGTGAATTTATTTTTTTGAGAGTGAGTTTGTTATAAAAGCAAATTTGGCCCCTTCTCACTCTCTCTCCCTTCGCTTTGCCGTGGGATGTCTTAACTGGAGGGTCCTCACCACATGTGGCCCCTTAATCTTGGACTTCCCAGCCTCTAGAACCATGAGCCATATAAATTTCTGTTCATTATAAATTACCCAGTCTCAGGTATTCTGCCATAGCAGCACAAAACAAACTAAGACACCACCTTCTGCTTCTAGCCCCAACCTGATATATCAGAGCCAAGTATGAGGATTAATCAAAATCTTGACCTAAGACATCCATATACATACATACATACATACATACATACATACATACATACATAGATGTATGTATATAGCTTGAGATTATGAAAGCTAAGACAAAACAGTGATTATCTGGATGCTCTGCTGTGTACTAGAATTATCCAAGGTGCAGACAGCCAGACTCCTCTACTAGAGATTTTAATTCTACAGGTTTAGGTGCACCCAAGAACCTGTGTTTTCAGATAAATATATTTGGAGAAACACTGACCTTCAGAATTACCATCAATGCAGAACTAGAGTCCCTAACTTACCATCCATCTGTGTCATTTTTTAAGATGCCAAAACTATTATCATTTCTTTCAATATTTCTGAAGTGAAACTACGTGCTGACCTCCACAGCACATATTCTCAACTATATACACCCATGTTTCTGCCCACTTCCCACCAGATAGATGAATAAAGACAGGTATAGACTGATAGATCAACCCACTCATTTACCTAATATATATTAAAGAAAGCAGATATTTTGCCTGCATATCAGAAAATAATTCAAATGTTTCAAGATTTTTCACATCTGAGAAACCTGAAATTCTGTCATAAATAAACAACAAATAAAAGCAAAAAGCTACCACTGAGAGAAACTTCCAGAAAAGTTCCCTAAGATTGTAAGTTAACACAGTCCTTAATTTACCTGCCATCACGTTGAGCAGCACCACCTTCTGTTACTGTCTTGACGAATATTCCCAACTTTTCAAGTCCAGCATCTGCTCCAACACCCATTCCAATAATACTTATACCAAGACCATCCTCATCTATTAAAAAGAAAAAAAAAGGAGGTGAAACAACCTAAGTTTTACACTAGTCTGCAATTAGCTGGTGAGAGCTATTTGCTGTTTCTAATTTTATTCTTCTTTATGGATAGGGCAATAACATGCTTGCCTTAGCAGAATTCTTTTTTCAGCTAGGGTATCTAATGAGATCCTCCAAAAGGCTCATGCATTTAGCATCATTTTACTACTACTCTTGGTAATTCATTGTGCTCTCAAGAAAAGGTAATAACTTGTTTATTGAGTAATTCCTCTGCCTTAAAACCTAGATTTTCTAAATAATGCAATGAATTATTTTAGGCATGAGAGTACACATGTTCAAATATACAATTTTAAATAAATGTGATCATAACATATCTGGAATTTCTCCTTTATTTATATGGTGTTTTCCTTTTTACTTGTTTATTCATGTTAATAAGATAGCACGTGTGGCCAGGTGCAGTGGCTCATGCCTGTAATCCCAGAACTTTGGGATGCTGAGGAAGGTGGATCTCTTGAGGTCAGGAGTTCGAGGCCAGCCTGGACAACATGGTAAAACTGTTTCTACTAAAAACACAAAAAATTAGCCGGGCATTAGTGGCAGCAGCCTGTAGTCCCAGCTACTCGGGAGGCTGAGGCAGGAGAATCGTTTGAACCCGGGAGGCAGAGGTTGCAGTGAGCCAAGATCCTGCCATTGCACTCCAGCCTGGGAGACAGAGTGAGACTCCGTCTCAAAAAAAAAAAAAAGATAGTGTATGTATTTGAGTACTTTCCTCTGTGCTTCTATACCCAAGAATATATACCCGTCAACAACTATTGTATATACATACATATACTTAGACATATATGAATGTATATATATGTATGTATAGCTTGTTTTTTCCTTCTTATTTGCTTATAAAAATGAGATTATAACTACTACTTTTTACAGCTTACTTTTTAAAAACCAATGAAGCGTCTGGTCACAGTGGCTCCTGTCTGTAATCTCATCACTTTGAGAGGCTGAGGTGGGAGAATCTCTTGAGCCCAGGAGTTCAAGACCAGCCTGGGCAAAATGGTGAAACCCCATCTCTACCAAAAATAGAAAACTTAGCCAGGCATGGTGGGTCACACCTGTAGCACCAGGTGTTTGGGGGCTGAGGTGGGAGGATCACCTTAACCTGGAAGGCAGAAGTTGCAATGAGCTGAGATAATGCCACTGCACTCCACCAAGGGCAACACAGCAAGACCCTGTCTAAAAAAAAAAAAAAAAGACATGTCATGGATATCAATGACCTCAATGTCCATAGCTCTAAATTATTTCTAATGACTACAAAATATTTCATGATGAGATGGCTTCATAATGTATCTGACCATTCTGTATTCACAGGCACTCACTTTTGTTTCAATTTTACCGGTCCTATGAACAATACTGTGTAACAGTTAAAAATCACGTGTTTATCCATATTTCCACTTGTCTTTTCTGTGAATATATAAGAGATACACTATTTTGTGTGTCACATGTTTTGGTTAAAGTTCAAAGTTATTTTTTGATAGCCTCAAAGTCTTTGGAATCATGGTTTATTAGCAGCATAAAAATACTCTAATCAACAGTGATGGATTATTAAAGAAAAACTGGTTCATATACTTAACAGAATGTCACTTTTAAAAGACTTTTTAGTAATAACCTTTACTTTAAGTTTTTTTTTCTTTTTTTTTGAGACAAAGTTTCATTGTATTGACCAAGCTGTAGTGCAGTGGTGCCATCAGGGCTCACAGCAGCCTCAACCTCCTGGGCTCTGATGATCCTCCCATCTCAGCCTCCGAGGTGCCGGGACTATAGGCACATGCCACCACATCTGGCTAATTTTTTTGTGTATTTTTGTAGAGACAGGGTTTCACCACGTTGCCCAGGCTCATTCTAACCTCCTGGGCTCAAGCAATTTCCTGCCTCAGTCTCCCAAAGAGCTGTGATTATGGATATGATCTACCATGACCCACCAGGATGCTTGTAAATGGTATTCTTTTGATGAAGGCTCACCTCATACCTTATTACTTATCACCAACTTATGCCTGAATTATTTCCAAGTACACCTGACAATCTTACATATTTATTCTACATATTTTTTAAAGGTGTCATTTGGCAAAAGTATGATTTGTTTGCTCAGTTGTATGCTGTAGGAATCTTTATAGTGTTTTCCCTGGATGAGCTGCCTGATGTGAATCCCAGCTGAAGGCACTTCCACACTGATTCTAGGCATCTGTATCTCTTTAGTGTGAAAACTTTAAATGTTCACTAACATAAATAATCTCTGAAGACTTTCCTCATTCATTATATTTAGAATGTTTATATGTGATTTCTCCTATTTATTCAAATTGTTTCTCTAGTACAAAGACTGATTTCATCAAGAGGATTTATCTTCTTAAAATTTTTCTACAAAATTTATCTTGTTAAAGTTTTACAGCTAAGCTCGGTGGCTCATGTAAGTAATCCTAGCACTTTGGGAGCCAAGGCAGGTGGATCACCTGAGGTCAGGAGTTCGAGACCAGCCTGGCCAACATGGTGAAACCCTTTCTATACTAAAAATACAAAAATAAGCTGGGCGTAGTGGTGGGCACTTGTAATCCCAGCTACTCAGGAGGCTGCAGCAGGAGAATCGCTTGAACCCAAGATGCAGAGGTTGCAGTGAGCCAAAATCGTGCCACTGGACTCGAGCCTGGGTGACAAAAGCAAGACTCCATCTTAAAATTTTTTTTTAAATTTTTTTAAAAATTAAAGATTTTTATACATTCATTATAGTTTTAAAATTTCTCCCCAGAATAAGCCTTCTTGTGTTCATGAAGGTTAGATATATGCTGACAGCTCTCCCACATTGGTTACATGCATAGGGTTTCCTTCTCTCCCATCAGGAATTCTCTTCTGTGTATAACATTAGTGGATGGCTGGATTCTTATTCACATTCATCACATTCATAGGATTTCTTAAGAAAATGAATTTTTATTCATACTGATGAAGGATGAATGCCCTCATAATAGTAAACACTATTCTGAAAGCCTTCCCATAGTGTTTATATCCATATAAGTTTTTCCCCTTAGTATGTTACTCTTGTGTTGTTTAACAGATGATCAATATAGCCTCTTCCATGATGAAAAATACCATAGAATTTCTCTCCTGTATGAAATCTCTGGTGTATATATGTATTAGTATTCTGGCTGAACTCTTGCTCACTTTCATTATACTCACAGGGTTTCTCTTCATTATGACTTATCACATGTCAAGCCAATGTAGAGGTGTGAGTCAAACTTTCCCATACTCATTAAGGTACAAAGGTCTCCTCCTCTCAAATGTGAAATCTCCGTACTATTACACCATTAAATAATTTCTTCCTGCAACTATCTTGAGTGAAAATTACTTCTTGGTTTCTAAATACATTTTCTCTGCCTATACTCAGGTCTTGGTAGAATTCTCTTTCTTCCTTCCATCACTCCTCTTGTTGCTTTTAACTGGAAAATTACTCAGATTTGCAGGGCTGAAAATCCAGATGTAGAAAAAGCAATATTAACTCAAGCCATCCTCAGTGCTAATGCAAATTACCTACAAAGACAAGGTTATAACTGAAGCGTAATACAAGAAAGAGCACAGTCAACCCATAGAGGCCAGAAGACAGAACTTCTCCAGCATCTTATTTAGATACAGCTTTCTCTATGATGAGTGAAGTCTGAGCCTCATTCTTAAAGGGCACTTATTATTCCTGTGGCTGCCTCTTCAAGAATCCAGCTGTACCCTGTATTCCTCTCTATACATTACTAGGGACAGGCAAAGCACTAAGACAAAACAGCCATAAAAAGATGGGAAAGAGTTGGGGCTGTGTTATTATGGAAGATGCTATTGTCATACTATGGAGCTCAAAACTTATTTTCTAACTTCTGGTTTCCCATTTTGGTTAAGCCTCTCCTGCCACAAGCCGAGATGATATATGTAGTCATTTAAATTTTCTTTACATCTTTATTTTTAATATGTTATTATTTAACCCATGTAGAGGTTCTTTTTTTGGTTCTTTTTTTTTTTAATCTAAGCTGTAATGAAGGAGTCCAACTTCAGATTCTTCCAAATAGATGCTCTGTTAGACCAGAACAATTTATGAAGCACACAATTACTTCTAAGCTGAAATATCATGTGTGTCATATATTAAATTCTCACACATATTAACAATTAGTCTATTTCACTAAAGTGAATTCTGGTAATTCAAATTTTGTTAGGCCATAAATTATTTCCAGGCATTTACCTTGTTTAACAAAGAAATACAGTGACTGATCTTTTATAGTAACACCATATATTTGTCTTCTATTCCTAATTTTCATTTATGTGCTTTCAATTTTCTTCAGTCAGTATTGTGCTTGATATATTTTATAGAAGGATTTGTATTACCTTATTTTACTATTTTCTATGTCATTAATATTGTTTTTATGTATACTACTCTTCCTTGATAGTTTTTTTTTTGAGAGAAGGAAAGAAAAATAAAGGAGTGAAGGAGAGGAAGAAAGAGGAAGAAAAAGAGGGAGAGAGAACGAAAATGTTGCTTTATTCTAAAAAAAAAAGAGGGGTATTAATAATGGCCAATCAATATTTCATTTAAACCTATGAGTAGGTGTGATGTGGTATTGACAAGAATGTATATTTTGTGTATGTAAAGTGGAGAGCTCTATAAATATTTATTAAGTTTACTTGTTCCGGATCTGAGTTCGAGTCCTGGATATCCTTATTAATTTTCTGTCTCATGGAGTCTAAGTCTCTATGTATCTGGGTGTTAGAATCGTTAACTCTTATTGTTGCATTGATCCTTTTACCACTATATCTTTGCTGCTTTAAAATCTATTTTATCAGATGCAAGAATTGCCAACTCCTGCTTTTTATTTATTTATTTTTGCTCTCCATTTGGTTGGTAAATCTTTCTCCATCCCTTTGTTTTGAGTCTTTGTGTATCCTTGCATGTGAAACGGGTCTGGATGTAGCATACAGTTGGGTTTTGGCTGCATCTTTTGATTGGGGGATTTAGTCGATTTAAATTTAGGATTACTGCCATTTGATGTTAACTGGCTGTTTTATACATTCGTTGATGTAAATTCTTCTTTATGTTGATGCTCTTTACTTTTTGGTATATTTTTAGAAAGGCTAATACTGGTTGTTTCTTTCTGTGTGTAATGCTTCTTTCAGAAGCTCTTGTAAAGCAGGCCTGGTGGTGATAAAATCTCTGAGTGCTTGCTTGTTCATAAAAGATTTTATTTTTCCTTCAGCTGTGAAGCTTAGTTTGGCTGGATATGAAATTCTGGGCTGAAAGTTCTGTTCTTTAAGGATGTTGAATATTGGCCCCACTCTCTTCTGGCTTGTAGAGTTTCTGCTGAGAGATCTGCTATAAGTCTGATAGGCTTCCCTTTATGGGTAACCTGGCCTTTCTCTCTGGCTGCCCTTAGTATTTTCTCCTTCCTTTCAACCCTGGTGAATCTAACGATTATGTGCCTTGGGGTTGCTCTTCTTGAGGAATATTTTTGTGGTGTTCTCTGTATCACCTGGGGTTGAATATTGTCCTGCTTTGCTAGGTTAGGAAAATTTTCCTGAATAATATCCTGAAGAATATTTTCCAGCTTGGATTCATTCTCTCCGTCGCATTCAGGTACACCTATCAAATGTAAATTAGGTCCTTTCACATAGTCCCACATTTCTTGGAGACTTTGCTCATTCCTTTTTATTATTTTTTCTCTAATCTTGTCTTCACGTTTTATTTCATTAAGTTGGTCTTCGACCTCCAATATCTTTTCTTCTGCTGGATCAATTCGAGTGTTTAAACCTGTGCATAATTCTCGGAGTTCCCATATTGTATTCTTCAGTTCCATTAATTCACTTATATTCCTCTCTAAATTGTCTATTCTCATTAGGATTTCGTCAAACCTTTTTTCAAAGTTCTTAGTTTCTTTACATTGGGCTACAACATATTCTTTTAACTCACAGAAGTTTCTTATTATCCATCTTCTGAAGCCTGATTCTGTTAATGGGATGTGCTCGTTCTCCATCAAGCCTTGTTCCCTTGTTGATGAGGAACTGTGATCCTCTTTAGATGGAGAGGCATTCTGATTTTGAGTATTCTCAGCCTTTTTACACTGGTTTCTTCCTATCATTGTAAATTTATCCAGCTGTCGTCTTTGTAATTACCAACTTTCAAATTAGGTCTCTGAGTGGATGTCCAAGTTGTTAATTCCCAGGGCCAAAACAGCGGTGTTAAGACTGATTGTGCTTTTCTACCCAGGAATCTCCAGTCTGGCTTCCTTCTCGAGTCCGTTATAGGTGAGTTTGGAGCCTTTCCGGAGCTCCAAACGTTGGTCAGAAGGGGAACCAGTCCCGTTTACTCTGCACCAAGAGCTGCCGCGCCGAGGTGCCGGCAAAACCGCTGCACTGGCCACAAGAGTCATGCTGGCGACCCATGGGGCTCCTCCACTGGGAATCTTCTGGTCCGTGAGCGACAAAAATTTGTCTGAAAGTGTGGCATGCTCTCGTTCTCTGCGCTTTCACTGGGAGCTGCAATCCCGAGATGTTAGCGATCAGCCATCTTGGATCATTCTCGATAGTTTGTTTGATTTAGTTTGTTTACTTTTTCTGATTTCTAAGACAGGTCCGTTTTTTACTTTTTTTATTTTAAAGAAAGAAATTAAGGATATAGCTTTTATTCTCAGTAAAGCTTTTGCTGTGTGTGCTACAGACTTTTTAAGTTTAATCCTTTCGAAGATGGTTTGGAATATGAGTTTTAATTTTCTCTTCAATCAAACATCTACCTAGGAATGTATTATGTAATTTCCAAATTCTCATGTTAAAGGAATTAAAAAAAATTTTTTTAAAGGATAAAACTTTTCTTTTAAAATACAGCTTGAAATGGAGTTCATTATATTAACCTACTCCTTGATTTTTGTTTTCTGTCCATAAATCTGTCCAGTTCTGAAAGAAATATATTGAAATATCCAATAATTATATTTGGTTTGGTTATCCTCTAGTTTAATTCAACTAGTTTAATGTTTAGTATGAAATATGGCAATATACAAATGAGTTTAAGAAAACACTTATCTATAAAACATTATGTTTAAAGAATAAAAATAAAAGAAACATCCATGTACAAAGACCCAGAATATCACTGACATCATAAAAGCCCACTATGCACCCCTCCCTGACACTGCAACTCTTTCCTCAGTGACCATTATACCAAACATTGTGTTAATCATTTCCTTTTTGTTTTAATATTACTTTTTTAAAAACTATTCATTTGTGTATCCCTAAACTATATGCTATTTAATTATCTTGTTTTGAAATATAAGTAAATGCAATTATATTACACTAAATGGCTTCTTTGGTTTGCTATTTTTACTTTTCCTCAATTTCATGTTAAGAATCATACATATTGCGGGGCATGAACTGTGGCACCTCCATTTTCACTGCTGAGTAATATTTTATTCACTAGATATGCTACAATTTATAGACCCTTTCTACCATTGATGAATATTTGGAGTGTTCTCGTTTCTTTGCTCCTATATAAGTAATATGATGGCCCAGCTCTGTTTGTATGGCCCACGAGTTAAGAATGGCTTTTACATTTTAAAATGTATGAAAAATGTAAGCATTACTCTTTAATTCACTTTAACCCCAAATGAAAGTATCTTTTAACAGCAGTAATCTATCAGTTATGTTTGGTGTAATATGACTAGTCTGGGATGGATATGGGATTCTTGGATCACCAGCCTTTTTACTCTCATTGGCATGTAAAATTATACCTACATCTCTCTGCTTCAAGTGTCGCAGTCTGATGCTAGTTTAATTATTTTGCCTTTGCAAGTATCTTTGCTTGTTTGATTTTTTTGATTTTTCACTTTATCTTTGAATATTAGAATTTTTTCCCATGCTATGCCTAAGTATGGGATCAGTTTGGGGTTATTCAGCCCTCTCACTTGCAAATAGATAAGCCCTTCCTAATACGAGCCTCAGATCTTTTTTTAAGGACAAAAAATTTTTCTTCTATGATATTATTAGTTTCTTCTCCTCCATTGTCATTTTTCCCTCCTATTGCCTAAAACTTACATATTGGGGCTCCTTCATGATTTTTCTTAGATTTTTGCTCTGTCATTTGAGAATTATTTTGGAACATCTCTTAAAGGTCATCTGAGATCACCAATTTAAGTCTCAACAATAACCATCCTTTTCTCTTCAATTCTAGTGAAATTTTTCGTTTCAAAATCAAAAAATTTGTTGCTAAGTTGGTTAAGAATGTCTTTTTTTAATCTTTATAAATTCAGGGGGGTACATGTGCAGGTTTGCTATATGGATATATTACATAGTGGCGAGGTCTGATTTTTACTGTAACCTTTATCTGAATATTTCACATTGTCTCTAACTGGTTATTTGTCAAGCCTCATCCACCTTCTGCCCTTGTACCTGCTACCTTTTGGAGTCCCCAGTGTGTATTACTCTGCTCTGTATGTCTATGTGTACCCCCTGTTTAGCTCTCACTTATAAGTGAGAACTTGCAGCATATAATTTTGTGTTTCTGGGTTATTTCATGTAGGGATAATGGCCTCCAGCTCCAACCATATTGCCGCAAAAGACATGATTTAATTCTTTTTTATAACTGAGGAGTATTCCATCGTGTATATATCCCACATTTTCTTTATCCAGTCATCTATTAATGGATACTAAGGTTGATTCCATGACTTGGCTATTTCCAAGACTTTCCATTTAATAGCACTCCATTAAACATACAAGTGAAAGTATCTTTTTGATACTGTTTATTTTCCTTTGGGTAGATATTCAGTAGTGATATACTGAGTTGAATAATAGTTCTATTTTCAGTTATTTGAGAAATCTCCACACTGTTATCCAGAGATTATATGATTTACATTCCCCACAACAGTGTCTCAGCATTTCCTTTTCTCTGCATCCTCACCAACATCTGCTGTTTTCTGACTTACTACTAATAGCTATTCTGATTGGTGTGAGATGGTGTCTCACTGTGGTTTTGATTTGCATTTCTCTGATTACTGATGTGGAGTGTTTTTTCATGTTTGTTGGATGCTTGTATGTCTTAAGAAATATCTGTTCATGTCCTCTGCCCACTTAGTAATGGGGTTCTTTTTTTTTTCTTGTTGAATATTTGAGTTCCTTGTAGATTCTGAGTATTGGTCCTTTGTTGGAAGCAAAATTTGCAAAAAAAAAATATCCTTGGGTAGGTTTTTCTTTCTTTTTTTCTTGTTATTCAAGTTATCATCTGTTTGTTGTACTCTTTTTCTCAAAGCTCTCTCAGAGGTGTTATTTCTGTTTACCGGGTCACAGTTCAGTTCTTGCATGCCCATCTTACATCTTATATGATAATCTCTGTTCCCATGGGCCAGCAGTTACTACAGCAGGTAGGGTGTCATTCCAGGGAGAGAAAACAGAAGGAAACCTCTCTGCTCCCTCTTCCCCCTGCTCTCTTTCAACCTTCTCCCCTCGGAGGTGGAGAGGATATAGCCCTACTATTTAAATCTCCTTGGATTCTACTGCCTTCATTCTGAATCTCCATAATTTTCCAATTATCCACCAAAACAAAACAAAACATCCATCTGCCCCAAGCTCTCACTTATACCAGCTCTTTGTGAGCTCTCAGCTATACCAGCCTTTTCTGGGAGTACCAACAAAGCATTAGGCCTCACTCTTACCTCCCTGATCCTAACCACCAACCCAGCCAGCTAAGATAGATGGGTTTCAGTTGGGAGTAAAATTTTCAATCCACCATCTACTCAGAATCCAAATCAACTGTTTTTGAAACTTAATAAATAAGATCCTCTGTGAGAATTAAAATTTTATCCAATCCTTAGAAAAAAAGGCTACATTTTGGAAAAATAATTTTGTATTATTAACATAGCAACATAATGATATTGTAAACACTGTAGCACTCACAAACCTTTCTCTAGTTCCACTGGGAAAAGTTCCAGCTTTTCTACACGCTTTTCAAGTTCATACTCAGCTGAAGCAGCCACAGGGTCAACTTCATCATTTCTCCTGTCATAATCTTCATTGGAGTATGTGTTGAAAACCTGTAGTAAGAGACCAACAAAATCATAATACACACACAAAAAAAAACCTCCCAGTTATCCAAAACTATGTACGTTTAAACATTCAAGTGATGAATTTCTTCTAAACAATTGTTTTGTCTTTAAAATCAACTTCAATGCTAAGAAAAAAATAATTGAGTCAGTATAAAAATAACTTACTAATTTTTTAAATGCATAAGTCACAGTTCCACTTTTATTCATTTAAGAGACAAAGTAGCCACAGAATACATTATTTGAATAGCAATATTTATCACCTTTTATAGAATCAGAATATGCCATATTAGCTACAACACTCTGCTGTTTCAGACTAAGGTTAAGCATCTTGAAGCTACCTAAGCAAACATCTACCCTTAATCTGTTTCATGGTATGACCTGTACTAGCTTGGAAGTAGCAGTGAGTCAGTATTATAATGCTATCTCAATCACAGGATCACTGAACCTGACCTCCATTCTAACACTGTCCTGGGCTCTTGTCATCCCTCATTTTACTTGCATATACATTTAAACTAAATTCTCATTGAAACTTTCTATGAAAATATCACTCAAGGGCTATATACCAAATAGGATATTAGCAACTGTTTATTTCTTGCCTATATCATTTAAAAGACAACTAAATGAGGCCTTCAGATATAGCCATAAGAAACTTCATTGTCCTTATTTCTGCTAAAATGTTTACCTGAAAAAGAAGTGAAGTCGTTGTTCAATCCCTCTCTTAATACAGGAAGAAATATATAAAAGAAATAAATGTATAATTCATCAAGTTCAATTAATATGCATACTAAACACTGGCATTTTCAACTAAATTCAATAATTATTATGCATCTAAACTGTGCCTAAAGAAACTGTGTCCCCCCCAAAAAATTCTTAAAATCTAGGAGTAGCTTTTAAAATAATATTTATTAAAATATCTAGTAAAAAAGGCCAAAGATTAAAGAAATTATGCCTATTTCCTACAAAGCTGGCCTTGATGGTCTATGTATACTTTACATTTATATTACTGGAAAGTAGGTAATTCCTATATTCTATATATGATAACCTATAAACCAAAATACATATGCATATATAGGAGCAGATGTAATATGGCTCCTAATGGTATATGCTTCTCAAAATAGTGTCATTTGTAGGATTTGTGCCAGAGTGGATACTGTTTATATTCCTGACATTCAACATGTTTTCATGGCCTCATGCCACTTGGATCCCTATTAGGTCTCTACCACCTTTCTCCACCATAGTAAACCTTACTGCATCAAAATGCATATTTCCATACTAGGGGGTTTGTGCTTTTATTTATCTTTTCATAATATTTCATAAACATTAGCATATTTCTCATGCTAATATTTTTTTTTTCATTGAGACAGGGTCTTGCTCTGCACTCCAAGCTGGAGTGCAGTGGTAGGCTCACTATAGCTTCTGCTTTCTGGGCTCAAGCAATTCTCCCATCATAGCCTCCTGACTAGGTGGGATTACAGGCACACACCATCATGCTCAGCTAATTTTTAAAAAAAATTTTGTAGAGACAAGGTCTCACTGTGTTGCCCAGGCTGGTCTCGAATTCCCAGGCTCAAGCAATCCTCTGGTCTTGATCTCCCAAAGTGCTGGGATTAATCAGCTTAAGCCACCATGCTCAGCCTACTACTCTTCTTAAATTACCATACTTACAACTTTCTCTTAGACAGCCCTTTCGATCTCTCACTTCCTTTTATATTTTTTAGTAATCATTCATTCACATTTATTCATTCAACAATAATTTACAGTTCTACACCTATGCTTAACATTGTGATAGCATAGTCCATGCTAGACTGGAGAAGAAATAGTTTCTAGTAGCTCACAGTTTAGGAAGGACACAGAAATCAAAATAAGCACCTACAACATAATGTGGTAACTGATATAAAAGAAGCATATACCAACTAATTTTTTTAATAATTTTCCTGGGAAAGTATAGAATTTTGTGAAGGAAAGGATATTTGACCTGAATCTTCAGGAATAAACAGAAATTCATATATTTGAGTGCAGAAAAGAAGGAATGTATGTTTCAAATATAAGACCCTAGACCAAAATATATACACACACATTTACGTATCTATAGTTTTTTGGAAAACATTGATAGTTGAGTATACTGCAATGGAAAATAAAGTGGCACTCACAAAAAAAGAGCTTGATCTGAGTCTTATGTCCTGGAAATCATTGGCAGATATGACTGGAAATTATTCATTAATATTTACTGCTTGTCTCCTACTGCTAATAGGTCCAGGTTTATGACTGCAAAATAATGGTTTAAACAGTATTCATTCCAGAACACCACTCAATTTCACTAGTACTAGTAAGTAAATAAATAGGTATATGTGTGCCTATATACAAAGTAAGTATGAAAGAACTGTTTGTAATAAATAACTCTTTCCCATTTTTTTTTCTGGATCCCAAATACTCTGCTATCAAAATGTTCTTCCCTATTGAAGCTGATTTATAAAGTTCATTTGAGAGCATTCTGAAATTAAATAAAACAAACATAAAACAGTAAGACTGCATATTGGAAAATGATACTTTGTATAATTTTTGAGACACGTAGCAATCAGACAACTATGCCATCATTTCATTCCTTAGAAAAGACATAATGTAATATGCTCTTCATCTCCAATACTCATAGGCTGGTAAATTAAGTCGGCATGCAGAAAACACTGCAAATTATTGAAAAAGAAAAACTAGAAGTAGTTATTTGGAGACTGAACAATTACTTGGATATTCCAAGAGGTTTAACAGAAAAATTATTAGAAGTAATAAGAGTTCAGCAAAGTGATATAACTTTTAAAACCCGATACCTATATACAAAAACAATTTAGAAAATACAACAAAATTATCAAAACAATAAAATACTTAGTGATTACCAACCATAAATGTACAAGAATTTTTCTCTCTATAAAACTAAGTGCTGAGTAAAAAAAGCCCTGAAGAAAATGCAATGTTGTATTATTTTCCTGGATTAAAATCCTTAGTACTATAAAGATAGCCACATTCCTATAAGTACAAATATCAGTTTACCCTAAATTAATTTATGAATTCAGGGCAAGAAAAATTAAAATCGTACCTATATTTTTCATGAAAACTAACAAGCTGTTTGAAAAAGAATAAGAGTAGAATCAGGCCCTAGTGGATATCAAAACACATAATAAAACTTCACTTATTAAGGCAATGTAGTTTGGACTCTGGGATAGATTCATTTTTATATTCTGTTCCATTCCTTTTCTATTCAAATTAGAGTCATCTATTTAATAAATGATAAAAAGAATTAAATATCTATCTGAAAAATATTGCTATTTATATCATGAAAAAAATACAATTCAGAACAAAAATATATACATATGTAAAAAGTGCTAAACGAAAATTTGGGACAGTATTTAGATAACTAGTTGGAAAGGAATTCACAGATCCTAGAAGCTCTAAAAGAAATAATTTGATTAAAATAAAGCCTAAAATCTTCTAGACAATAAAATATACTATAATAAACTTACAAGAAAAGTCACAGATTAGGAGAAAGTATGGCCAAAGATTAAGATGAAACATGAATATTCATAATATAAAAAGGGCTTTATCAATTTAAACAATCGCAAGTATAAGTAGGGAAAGGAAATTGAGAATTGAACAAAGAAGAAATACTAATGTCCAATAAATGATGTAAAAATGCTCATCTTCATTAAAAATTACACAAATGCAAATTAAAACAAAAAGATACTATGCATTCATCCATAAGAATGGATTTTTTAAAAAGATTACAACATCCAGGCCAGGCACAGTGGCTCAAGCCTATAATCCCAGCACTCTGGGAGACCTGGAAGGGCGAATCACTTGAGATCAGGGGCTCAAGAGCGGTCTGGACAACATGGCAAAACTCCGTCTCTACTAAAAATACAACAATTAACTGGGTATGGTGGCATGCACCTGTAATTCCAGCTACTCAGAAGGCTGTGACAGGAGAATCACTTGAACCTGGGGGGCAGAGGTTACAATGAGCCAAAATCATGCCATTGCACACAAGCCAGGGTGACATAGTGAGACTCTGTCTCAAAAAAAAAAAAGACAGCAACATCCAGTGTTTGTGGGGATACACAAAAAAGAATACTCTTGAAGAGGAAAGCATAATTAGATATTATCACATGTATTTAAAAGTAACTTTTAAAAGAACTTAAAAGTAAAATTTTTTTTAAAAGTGGAAAAAAGCAGTTATCAATATTTTAAATGTAAATATCTTTGACATAATAATGTCACATATAAGTATTTACAGAAATACTTGCAAATGTGTATAAAGATGTATTTGCAAAGTAGTTCATTACAGCACTATCTGTACTAGCCCAAAGCAGGAAATTGCCTAATTGTTCACCAACAGAAAAAATTGCTTGCTAAATTATGATATATACAAATATGTAATTCAATGCAGTGATTGAAGAGATGTATATCTCTCTACTGACATGGAAGACCCTGAGATACATTATCATTAAGCCAAAGACCCCGAGATATATCATTAAGCCAAAGAGCACGCTGCAGATATAGAGATAGATATTCCCAATTTGTATGATCCCCAATTGGTATGGTCTCAATTTTAACCTAATTTAAAGTCCCCTAAGTTCCCTAGCTATGTAGCACTTGCCAAGTTGAAAAACCATGCTAAGCTACAGCCTCTTTATTTACAAAATGTTTATTATAATAATGCCTATCCCCATAAGAGTATTATGAAAATAAAACGAAATAATCCATGCAATTATGCTTAGTTCAATGTGCAGAGAGAAAAAGCTTTTCCAAGGTAATATGAGGGATAATATTTCCCCTGATACCTACTACTCATATCATACTCTCCTTTTTTAATTAAATTTAAAAACATTTTTAATAGAGATGGGGTCTCACCATATTGCACAGGCTGGTCTTGATCTCTTGGCCTTAAGCAATGCTTCTACCTTGGTCTTCCAAAGTACTGGGATTACAGGCGTGAACCC